GGCCGACATAAACGCGACAGTGATCTTTGTGCGCATAATATCGGGTGCGTTGACGACGGTTGTTCCGTTCCTCGTTATTGCAGTGTGTGAACGCGACGATAACAATGCAATCGCGAGACTCTGCATGAAAGTGCAGTGGAACAATTTTGCAGGTGCAACAGCGGGTCCAACCCATTTTTTCGATATTCCGACTCGAAATGAATCTTAGAGCCGAGAAAATTAAATTCGTGAAACTTAATTTAGCCCCAACTTTAATTGCGAGAGCATTAATTGCAGGAGAATTGCGACGTTTTGTGCGAAAGAATTTTAATATCTAGGATTTAAGTGTGAAAAGAAAAATGAAACATAGGTTGGTTTGTTGTATCTCTGAATTTTGCGATTGATAATTATTTTCATTCACTCAAAAAAATGTGGATTAACACCATTGTTCCTATAATTCTTACCATTCTTAATACTATGAGTGTTAAACTATGATGTCAAATCTACATATGTAGTATTAAATCTACGTCTTATTAATGTTTAAATCAATATTAACACGGTGAGACTTATATAAACAGTTAAACACCGCAAGTAAATCGACATCTATATTTTTTAGTATTCATAATTATATCAAATTTATTCCCTTATTTCAAGCGTTAAAGATAACTATCACGCGACAGTTGAGTTTCCGATAAAAACGACATAAACAAGATAGAAAAAGGTTTTCATTCCGCAAAAAAGGAAACCATAACTACGACGGGCAATTGGAATCGTTAATGCACAAATTGTCCGCCTCTGGGCGCTTCGGTGTTTGAACGCCGATAAATTTGCATGTTCGACAGGAAAGGGCAGCCATTACACAAGCCCGCGACCGCTTTCTGATCGTTTCCGATCCGTGAGAATTGGTTCAATTTGTTCGATTGTTCTTATACAAAGGAGGAAGGAGGATTGCAATTGTGGTTGACATGTTCCCATAATCGCGACATTTATAATGTAAGCATTTATAATGTATGACAAAATGACATACACAAAATGTTGTTATTCTCTCGTAAATTTGAATTATAATGGATGCTGTTTGAAAAACATGTCCGTTGTAGTAAAGCTTTTATTAATTTCTCTATTGAAATTTAGTCAACAGTTTGTGAATTGGTTTACTCGTTCGGAAAGGAAAAAGTCCTTAATGTCCTTAATAAACAATAAACACTCTTTCTGAGATCAGATATGCGTCGTCTTGGAATTACGAAATATACGGGTGAAAATTACAGAAGCAAAACGGAAAAAAGGGCCGGAAAGAAAAATAGATGGAAGAAAAGAGCGCGGAAACTTTGGCCGAGAAATTCTGTCCTTCGTCCCTTCGGCTGTTTGTATTCCACCCTTACTCACAGCCCTTAGCAGTCGCAGTTGGTTCTTTTTGCTCTACTTTGCACGTGCACGATCGTTTACTTTTATTTTACTTTGTCCGAACTTCGTCCTTATGATCCCCATCCATACTCGAGTTCGAAAACGGAAATTGTGAGATTCATGCGTGATCCTTGCTTATTAAAGCAGTAAAAAGGCGGATATTGGCGCGTCATTCAGTATTTCCCGACACGATATACAAATAATTAGTGGGTCAAAATATTTCTCGATCAAAATTAAAAAGCCAGTCTAAGCTTCAATCAGTTTCCGCCTGATAACTCAATAAATTTAACTCGACGGAAATCCGAGAGCTGTAAACATTGATCTTGCGTTTTTTTTGTTGTCTCTCTAAAGCTTTCAATTACTGGTTAACTATATTAAAGTTTTTTCCGAGGAGAACTGAATTATAAGCTGTTTACGTCGAACACGATTTAGGTCAATTTCGAAGCAGACCTTAATACCTTAATACCTTAATATCCTTATTTATTTGTGTTTTAATAACAATAAACAGAGAATTAAGAACAATTAAACTAACTACAATTAAAATAAGTAATTATATCCAGACTGAATTAATTAATCATATATAAAATAGCAGAATATATAATACGTTAAAAGACTGTATCATGATGGTCGGGTCAAACATAATCATGATATAACACCTGCCACGCGCTATAATATAGCGCAGCATAAAATGCTAAATAACGAATATCTGACCGAATAGATGCGAAAGCACTATTCCGACTAATGCGATTCGATGATTCGCGAAACATCATTAAAGACCAGTAAACTCGACCGTGAAGCACGTTCGATTGGTTGCTGCGGTATCGAATCAAGAGAAAGAGAAAGAGAGAACAGTAGAATCGACACTGCAAACGTAATCATGTGAATTTGATCGGCGAGCAAGCGGATAATTGCGCCAGTCTATCGCGAATTGTAATTTCAGCTTTATACATACTTTATAACCGCAGGATAGATTTTCCGCGTTGCAGAAATGTGCTCGGTTTCACCGTGTGATCGTCATATATGGGCAATGCTATGCAAAAGTTGGAAAAACTAACGTGTGGGAAACTTCGCGAAACGAAGTTAACTCAGTAATATGGAACTTTAAATTTTTAATATATTAAAGTCCAACGGAGGATATTTGTTTGCGTACATGTTACCGTAATTTATTTCTCAACTGAGCTAGAAGTAGAAATACGTACTTTTGAGCTGACATTTAAATATAAAAAACTTGCGGTTTTATGAATCGATCCAACCGAATTATGTATATAACTGAACTGAGAGATGGATGGAGAGAGAGAAAATTTAATTTATTAAAACTCATTTTTATGTAAAAAAAAATCTACAACAGTAAAAATAGTTTTTGTAATGTAATCGAAATCAATATTTGAAAAATGGAACTCAATTTTATACATAACATTATGTATATAGATTGGAGCATTCGGCAATCAAAATCTAATAAAGTTCTGAGGATCGTTTGATTACCACGCGTCGATTTGACTACTATTGGAAACGAGAATAAAAAATAAAAAGGAAAAAACAGGGAACGGACGTTAATCGTGAATTTGTTGCACTCTCGACTCGTATCGGAATAGAGGGACGAGGTGGAGGTTCATCTGAATCTCGATATTCCCGTTTACGTGGCTGGAATGCAATTCCACGAGATTCGATAAAATCGCGCTTTCCCCCTTCTCTCCTCTTTCACTCACTCTCAGAGAATGTCCCCGCCGACTGTTCCGCTGTTCCGGAACGGCAAATCAAGAAATTTTGGCAACGAACTATCTCGTGGTAACCCGAAAAAGACGGAGGAGTGAGAGAGAGAGAGAGAGAGAGAGAGAGAGAGAGAGAGAGATATCCAATCGTCGAGAGCAACTCTTCCAACCCTTCATCTTTTTGACTTTTCCGTGTGTTTCTCTTCTCGCGTCTTGCTACCCTCACTCTCATAGCTCGAGGGAAGAAGAAAGTGCATTCTTGCTGACAGATGGCAATTTACGACGTATCGTAATTTCGACGGAAATGCATGGTTATCTCGCGGAATATTTGGGGTGCCAGCAAAACTGTTGCCAAGGGAGCTTTGCAGATGCCAGGTAATAGTAATGAAGAAGCGAAATGGTTTATGTTGATAAAGCGAAATATTTGCCTCGGTATGTGATTCAATATTGGATTTGCAGCGGGATAACGGAATTTCACATAACTTCTGGGATAACATTATTTTATTAATTTCTCATGGAAATATTATATTAAAAATACTGAAAGATGAATATGATGCATATATAATACTTTCATCGTTAGAGTAAAATCTTACTCTAAAAAATTATCTCACTCTAAAAGAGTACACTGAAAGAAAAAATTGACTGCTACAGCAAATTAGATGGTAAAATATGATGTAACATTTTTAATTGGCTGTAGCAGCCAATTTTTGGTTGCATTAGTCAATCGAAATCCTATGACATTGCAGATAGGCTAACACAATCAAAAATTGGCTACTGCAACCAAAAATTAGCTGTCAATTAAAAATGCTATGCCATCTAATTTGCTGCAGCAGCCAATCTTTTCTTTCAGTGTAGTTATAAATATTTAGAAAATTTAAGTTTCATGATTTCTATAACTTTGTTAACTATAGAAATCGGCATTGGAATCGATCTAGGCGAACTAAGTTTCACGCAATCCACCAGTTTCTGCCAAACTGTCAAGCGAAAGAAGAACAACAACATGTTTCTCGTGAGATATGTGTACCGATTAAAGAGCGATTTATCCACGTTTGCGGTATAGAAAATCCTCGGGATGACGGATGCCTGTATCGCGTGCGAAGGAACCGTAGAAGGAGGAGAAAGACACGACGCGACGATTCTTCCCTCTTTGTCGCGTGCGATAGGGAGGAAGAAACAGTGCTCGGTGTGTGGTTTCAATATTTCGGTCACATAGCCGAGGTTCGGGAAAGCCGAAGAGCGGAAACCGGATCACCGGGGTGGGATGCATGGGATGGAAGAAGGTCGAGGATTTTTTTTTCTCTCGCGAAGGGATACGTTCGACAGCAAGGCGTCCTCCTCCTTCTGCGGAGGAACTCCAACAAATCTTCCTCGGGAAGCCTCGAACTCGTCGAAGCGCCGCGAAGAAGTCCCGACGAAGCCTTTTTTCCAATCCCGTCTACTTTATTTGAGAGTGCTATAGCATCTCTCGAGCGAGCTTACTATCGACGTTCCGCGTTCTATTATCCTACACCGAGAAGAAAGAACTGCTTAGTGGAACAAAATACGTTCAATTGAGAATAAAATCATTTAAGTGAGTCACGTAATTAATGTGACATGTTTTGTCAATAAAGATATTATAATTACAATTACGGCGCATTAATAAAATTGCATCGGCATATATAATAGGTTGTATAATTGATGTGACATGTTTTGTCAATAAAGATATTATAATTACGACAATTACAGTGCATTAACGAAATTGCATCAACATACAGTTTGCTCGATAAACTCGATATATTTTATTAAATAAGAGTTACATCGCAGTTCACTCAAGTAGACTTTCTTCTCAGTGCAATGTTTTTACGAGTACATTTGAAATTTTTTAGTGGGAGACGATGAAATATTCAAAACATGACTCACTCTTTGTCGCAGGTCCTTTTGTTCCCCGAGGAGGGCTGGGCGAGAAGCGCAAGTAGTTCCTACTGGACTCTGACGCCGTTCTGGTGGAGCCGGAGCCGGTGTAAGGTCGTCGAAGTCGCTGGAACAAGAAGGTGAGAAAGTTATTATTAAATTACAGTTGCGTCACCAAATACAATTTTAATAGTTTAGAAATAATGTACAACCCCTTGAGCATCTCGTATTTTATCTGACAATTCCGCGATTCGCTTCAAGTTATCGATTCTTGTCCGTTCGTTTATATCACAATTATTATGTGATATCCGTGTTTACAATAGGTAATACGAACCTTGACGGTTCGAGATGCACGTCGTGTTATCCACATCGAGATAACGAGCTCATGGGAACATATCGTGTACGTAAAGTGGATAGAGGAGGATAATGGGAACGGAGACAGAATACCGTATAACCGGGGTAAGATGAGGGTGAGACCTCTCTCTTCCCGGCGGTCGTATCACTTTGGGAAACTGGGGCCCGTCTAACTTTCCGACGTCCATAGATTTCGGCGCCGTTAAGGTCGCCCAGTTGGCGGTCGAAGCCGATAAGGGCTCGCGATTTATAGCGATTCGTTCGATCGCGCGCGTGCGCATGTGCAGAAGAAAAGACGCCCTCATTGTCTTCCTTCGAATGCTGAGAGCCATAATAAATCTTGAAGAGGTGGAGACGAGTCGGCAAGCAGGCTTTGGACCCATGCGATAAAATCGCGACGCTTTACGACGCCTGGGATCGAATGTTGTACCTCAAACTCTCGAAGAAATTATCTCGCGTTCTTTTTCGTAAAAAGATCGCTTGCGAAAATATTACGCGCAATATTTACGTTCATAATTAATAAAATATACTGAAAGAAGATATTTAAATATCTTTTGTTCCCATAGTAAATTATCAGTAATAAAAGACATTAAATAATATTTATTTTAACTCTGTACTCAATTTCTCTTTTCATTGTTAAATTCATATCAAATTATATCCAATATAAGTTATTTTTAATTATTTTTGTAGTACTGCTCTTAGTCGATATGTTATTAATTTAACTAAATAATGAAGTTGAAGAATTTAACTCAAGAAAATATATTACAATATATAAATTTGTAAATAAACAATGCCTAAATTCTAAGCAGAATCGTAAGGCTGGTAACATATTCCTAATAAGACTTGTAAGAATTTTTAAGTGCTTATACAATATTTTTACAGCTTCTTACTAGCCATAAAATTTATAAGAAATCGTAGATATTTATAAATAATCGTACGTCTCACGATATATTCATAAAATTAGAACATTAGTCATAAGTTCTTACAAATTTTACGAGAATATGTTACGAGTCTTACGATTCCGTTTAGAATTGACCCATAAATTTGACTTAAATTTAGTTTATCATTTACTAATTGCATACGTTAATACGGACGTCGTTCGCTTTAAAACTAATCGTAGGAACAGACTGATTTACATTTTGACACACACGCAAGTTAAAAATAACAAAAGTTTGTTTTTTTAATTCAAAAGATTGAGTTGTCATTGCTCCTTTAAGGTATCTAACAATATTAAATAATTTATTATTTCGAATAAAAAGATCTCTAAATAAAATATTTCTTAAAGAAGCATTTAAACAAAAACATATCTATTAGTATTAAAAAAAGTATTATATAGCTCGATCATCTTATCATCTATATCAAAGGTGGAATATCAAGAGAATTCGTACTAAAGGCTTTACTATATCCGTATACAAGCCAGACCCCGATTGATGCATGGTCAAAATTGACTTCGAAGGCATCCTTAGCGTGGCATAAACGTCTCCGTAGGATCGGACGGAGTTTGCGAAGACAACCGAACTTGTCTAAATATCCCTCGGCTCTGCTACGGATGCCTGTATTCCTGGTTTCACAACAGTAACCGAGCTACGAGAACCGGGCTGCTCGTCTTAGTAAACATGTGGTATAACGGCTCTTGGCAGTACAAATCAATTCCCACGCCCCTATCCGTGGACACGTGTACAGTTCGCGTTATTCTCTGACAGGGATGCAAACGGTATTATGCCGTGACTATGTACTTTGATTGATTATTCAGTTTACTTCAATCTCTGTTCCAATCCTTGCAGAAAGACGTTCAGATAGTTTTTAGGTCAACGAAAATTTTCAAGATTGAAATATCAAGATAAAAGCCACCTGAGATATCGGAAGTCGTTACTCGGATTTTCAATCTTCGTTGCTTGGTCAACAAAAATTCTCATGGTTAGAGCAGATATCTATATCTATACCTAAACCGACTCAAATCTCGGAGATTGTTACTCCATTCTAATCTTCAATCGTTACTCGGTCGACAAAACTTTACCAATTTCACGTTGGAACATCGAGATAGTTATATCGAAATCCAATTGATCCCCAAAAATTACTATTTTATAGCGATCCTCATCATTGCTCGGTCAACAAAAGCTTTTACGACGGGTTAAAACGCGACGACAGTTCGATCTGCTCGTTGGTCGAGGAAATCTCACCCATTTATCTTCATCCAGGATTTCGACCTCTCACACGGTGCAATCGACTGCAACCAAATCCAAACCGATTGGGGATACTCGACAAATATGTCGCAATGAGCTCGTCAATTTATCGATAATAAGCCAATACATGCTCTAGAAAGCAAACAATCTCTCGAGAATATCGATAATATAACCACTAACATTAATTATCAACGTAATTATTGTCGCTGATTGGAGTTCGTGATTTTACTAATTGACATTTGTGATTTCACTCAGTTCATTTTTCTTTCAAATTCATACTTATTCCTCAAAAAGTATTCTTGTTACAATCTTATTAATTTACTTCTTCTCTCTCTCTCTCTCTCTCTCTCTCTCAACTGATAGACACTCATTGCATAATTATTATTTATGATATTATACGTCAGCTTGTGGATACACGTGATCATCGTTATAAATAAATAGGATTCAATCTCATTCTCGCAATTAATTTTTCTTTTTAATTAATAGACATTAATTTTAAATATTCGAACGTTCACTGCTAGTTTATACGTATGTATTAAAAGTACTTCGTACGAGATTGTCGATAACGTCAAAGTTGAGAGATCGAGAGTCGAAAAACGTCCTCGAGGTGTGTGTTTACATTACGGGCACACGAAGTCACTATATCTACTATGCCCGTATTGTGCGTAAACGCTAGGAAGTGACGTCTACGTGCCTTTCTTCGACGGTTCGGATTTTCCCTTTCCCTTCGAGAAAAGCCGGAGAAATCAAAGCAACCGGTGCGGGCGCGACGGACTTCGAGCCGAGTGTCGGATCTGCTGCCGTTCGCCTCAATGGAAGCCGTTTAAACTTTTAATGATCGTCGCCGGTCCTCGAGAGGTATCTCCGCCGGAATAAGCCCCTCGAGTCTATCATGCGGGTGTTGGTGAACTCTAATGCCTCTCCCTCTTCCGTCTTCCGTTCACTTTCTTTATGCAGGAAAAAGATTTTCCTTTTTCTTAAAAGTTTTCAGATAGAAATTTTAAATTTCATGTTCTTTTATTCTTTTTATTTGCGTATATATCATTATTTAATTTATATTTAAAAAAGGAAAAGAAAAAAAAGTATCTTTTCTATAAAAATGTATATCTTTTAAATTCTTTAAATATAAAAAAGAAAACGTAGTTTTAATGCGAAATTTTCATATATAAAATTTTTACATATGCTACTTCTAGAAAAGATTTGGAAAAACAATATATTTTTCATAAATGTATATAATATAATAATATATAGATCTTTATTTCACTTTATTAATACTATCTATTAAAATATAAAGAATCTATGGTTTTTCTTATACATCTTTTTTGTAATAATTATACAAAAATATAATAAATATAATAAAATTTGAAATATACTTTAATGTATTCCTTCCCTTTTCTCTATCATATAATAATATTAAAGGGCCACGTCTCTTGTCACCAGTCAAGTGAAATTTCCCTTCGTCTCCTCAATCATTCCCGCTCCATGACTTCCCCTCCGTTCATCGCTTCGATGGAGATCACAGCGTGGCCTAAAGACATGGCACGTAGCTAGCGATAATCGTCAATTAATTTAACAATGCGTATTCAAGATAGCTGATGGTCCTCAAAAAACCCAAATCAGCATTCAAAATGCAAAGCAAACACTTTCATCGTTCAATAATAATTTTATACTAACACAGTAGATTGTAATATTAATATAAGTTACACAGAAATATAATTCCTTAATAATTTTAATTAGTAGACATCGGATTCTTATGCAATTTCATATTTTTTTAGAAAGCAGATTGGAAAGTAATATAAAAATATAATTTTTTTCTCAATAAAAAAGCATTCTAAAAATGCATATTTATTTGTACACATTGTACATATTTATGCAAATCTGCATATTTTGTGCATGTCTGCAAAAAATATCTGCATAAAAATCCTATGTCTATTAATAAGTATGAGGAAAAATATAATGAAGATTAAAATAATTAAGAAATAAGTTCAGTCTTATTACCGTCGTAATATAAACAGTTTTCGCGAGTTTTTACAGAAAGATAGAAATCAATAGAATCGCCTTCTCACGAATGGCTTTTGTAAGCATACACAATGCTTTGGCACCCTTGCATAGTACAATTCGGGACAGAGGATAAGAATCGAGGGTGTGCTGAAATCTCCTTCGTAAGGATTACGTCAAAGGATGTTAAAACGAAAAGCGGACAAGCTATAGACGACGAACTGATAGCTCTCTGCTTATATTCAATGTATCAAAATCGATTGCGCTTTTTCTCGTTTGACGTTTCTTTCTTCTTGATAATATAGGACGCGTCCCGGATTCCCATCGTTCTTTGTATCCATGGATTTTTCTACTGAGTTAAAATCGATTACCTCGTACAAAAAATATTATTGGTCATAAGATTTCAATTCAGGAAATCGTGATTGTGTTTTAGGTATAGTACTCAGGCGAAGATGGTAGACACGGGTACGGGCACGCTTTATATTATCGGTTCATTCAAGAGGATGACTACCGATCCCGATTTCAAGGTATGAATTTATACTATAGTTAAATTTTTATTAAATATATATTTTCTTTAACTTTTTTAAGTGTCAATTAATTTTACTATTAATAAAAATAATCTACCAATACAAAATATAGGACTTTGTAATTCGTAAAATTTTACAATTGCTGTATCCTGTAGTTGCTGTTAATGAAATGGATAATAAGGCACTAGACTTTCCTATCGTAATTTGTTAATACAATAATACGTTTTATTAATTAATTATTAACAAATCCGTCTCTTATCGTGCCTAGTAAATAAATAATATTTAATCTTTTTGAAGATTGCAGTGCGATGTACTTTCCTGTACTACTTTTTTTTACTTTAATTTAAAATTATTTTGAATAAAATAATAATAAATATGTATATCTATAAATATATTATAAATAAATACATAAACCATAAAAGCTTCTTCTTATTAAGAATGCAATTCTTTTTATATAAATTTTTTATCTTCTTACTTTATTCCTTAATATATGCTTTTAATATATATCGCTCAAAGGTTTCAGCACATCTTAAGTTTTTTCAATTCCATTTTTCATACAGACGTAAAATATGAAATTATGATATAATATATTTTCTTATTGTCAATCACAGAAGTATTCAATAAAGTCGCAAATTGTTGAAAAATAATTATAAACGAAAATTACAAATACATTTCTTAAATAAACAAATATATACACTGATTAGAAGAAATATTGATTTCAATTTTGATATCCCATTTTCGGGGCTATTTCGATTCCAATAAATATTTGGATATCATGATGAACAACAATAAGAAAATAGTATAGAAACAGTATTCTTGCAGAAATTAAACGCCAAATGAAACACTGAAGTCATTAATAATACTTAAAGAACTTATCGACAGAATAGGAAGAGTTTTCTAAGTGGTTTCTGTTATCAAAATTTAAAGCTGGAAGAAGTAAAAATCTAAAAAATTAGTATTTTCTAATTTTAGTGAAAATATGTAAAAATAAATTAAAAAAATATATAATAAAATAATCCATGCAAACTGTATTCATATTTTATTCATTATATTACGTTTCCATAAACGGAGAGTATGCTGAAACTGTGAGTGGTAGTGTATCTACATATTTTCACTTGTGTTTATCTATGTTTACTTGAACAAAAAACATGCAATTCATGCTACAAAGATAACAGTTAATTCATTAAATAATAGAATTCAATTCATAAATTTAAATCATATTTTATATTACACTAATTATTTTTTATTTCGTTGAAAGAACGTTGGACGAGGCTCGCACAATCCTTCTAAACGATGCACCAGACGCAGTTATATCGGAAGCTCGCAGTCCGCCTTGGCTAATCTGCAGATTGTCGGATTATGAAAAATTTTGTCTCTGTGATATTTCCGCTCGCACCGGCAACGCATTCATGGCGCCGCGACGCAATCAACATATCTCTACCTCGTCTTTTCGCATAAAATAGTATCTCCCACTAAATGCGCGCGTGCAATTTTTAGATGCTTCTATCTCGAGAGCCGAAGGTAGCAGCGAGACGATAATTAAATAAATATACGACAATGCACGCGTAGAAAATTTGATATCGCTGCACATTGTAATGCGCGCGTGCACGTTCGTTGTTCCCGTTTCCGCAATTACGGAAACAGGTCGCGCGTTTTCTGCAAACGAATTAAACGAATTGAAGAATCTCGGTTCACGGATGTCCGTCCCGGTGACACGACTACGTGAATTAATAAGATCGTTTAAGGGGATGCTGGAGTGACGGTCAAACTTAATCAAGGTCGATAGTACAGACTTTGTTAAATTTCAAATTCGATAATAGTGACAACTTTCATTCATTTCTTATACTTATCATATATCGTTGTGTCTCGCTCAAACGCATTCATCTGTCCTTATCTAACATATTGCAACCCCATCTCTTAGAAAGACATCAACTAAAATACTGCTCGATTTCATGGCTTCACGTCAATTTTATTCGTAGTATACGAACGAAATTTTTGGCGACTCTTTTCTCTTATACCAAAGCCTCTATCTCGTTTCTAAAAGCATATAGGATTGTTCTTCGAGGTTTTCTGTAGGCTGCTGGCTACTTATTTTAAACGGGTAAAATCTGAAACTCTTATATGCAGCACATATTGTGAC